TCTTAGCTCAGCGACCTTGAACGAGTCCTAGCACGCCTCTGGACCTCCGTGTCCTCATCTGTACCTTACAGAGACAATGGCGACAGGGCGATCATGAGGGTAGAGGGCCCTTCGTGACACGTGCTATGGGCCAGGTCCCCCTCTGAGGAACCTGTCTCATGCTCACCTCTCTTGGAGGTACATCCGAGGGGTGAGGAGCGAGGGACAAGGTCAAGTGACTTCTCCCAGGTCACACTGCTCCCACTGGGATTGGTGCCAATGGGGATGGGGTGCTTTTTTTTTTTTAATGGGAGTTCGTTATGTTTCCAGGGAAGCTTTACACAGAGGTCGTGGAGTTCTGTCTCCATACGTGCCCTGTGCTGGGGGAATTCGTCGCAGGGGGGGATGGTTCTCACCCCTCCCGCTCTGCTGGTTCCGTGTCCGTGCCTCCAGTGGCTGGCCCTGCCCTCGACGGTCTGGGGTTTACAGAGTCATTGCTGATTGGTTTGAGCTCACAGAAATGATGGCTTTTTAGAGGAGGGCTGTGTGCTTGTGTGGGCAATGGTCTTTATTTTCTGACTTGTGGTGCAACTAACAGGCAATCTCAAGGGGTGATTTCAGCTCAAGGTTTAAAGGGTTTATCTCAGGGCAATTCTCTGGGGAGCGCCTGTGCCCCCACCGTGCCCCGCCAGCCTCAACGGGGTAGTAAGTCTGCATTTTTTAAGAGCTGGAGGCTCTGCTCCAGTTTTCTCCCCTTTTTTCAGATCCGTCCATGGTGGCCCTGATCAGAACACCTGTAGTGGTCGCCAGGTACCACCTAGTGCTTCTGGTCTCAGGGCAGATGAGACCCTGGTTGTCTCTGAGCCTCTGACTTCCTCTTTTCTTGTTTTGGCTCCAAATGAAGAGTGGCCAGGAGTCGAAGGTGCTACTTTTAACCACGAGGTCTTTCTGAGTCCCAATGCTGGCGACAACATCTCATCTGGCCTTCTCGGCGGTAGCCAGGGGTGGACAACCAAGGCCCAGTACAGAGCCGGCTTGGCCAAGGGCAGCCTGTGTTCGCCTGGCGTTGGTCTGGGCATCCTACACATGTCGGCTCCTTCACTCCACGTTAGCGATCCGGTGCGAGGGCTCCCCAGCTCCTGGCCACCGCTGGGAGTTCCGGGCCCAGAGAGTGAAGTCAGGGCCATTAACCTCACTTGGGGCTGCAAAGACC